TCATTTGTACAAGTTTATTACATAATTTATTTCTAATTTTCTTTGCCATGGAACATACCTCTAATAATATGTAAAATCAAAAACATATGCAAGCACAATACCAAGGCATCAGTTTATTTCTTTAATTCTTTTTATAATCCTTCCTTAATATTAACAATATATTTTTCAAAAAATACTGCAACAAACAAATATTCAAGTAGGAATGATATTATTGTGTGTATGTAAGAAGTGTCTATACAATAAAGGGGAGGTGTCCACTTAGAAATTTTCTATATTATTACCCAACAAAGTTACATATCAATAAATAAAATTATAATTTTTTTGATTTGTTTTTACTATACAATAAAAAAAATGAAATTACACCATTTTAGTATAGATATATCTGTTATGTTTTAATTATAATTAATTCTATTTAATGTATACAATTAGTTGCAAAATAATATTACCATAGCATGATAATAACCACCAAAGACAAACTATTCTATTCTGTTTTTTTCTTACATGCAAGTAGATTACAACTTACATGCTACAACCTTGTGATAACTACTTAAAAACCACGCTTGAGTAAATCCAAAAACCAATTAAATAGGTTATCTTTTTTATTTCCACCATAAATTTTACAAAATTGATATAGTTAATGCAGTACTGCTACAATACAATGTTGTAACTTTTCTGAAAACTTTCAAATTCTATTTCTGATTTTGCTGTTTCTTACAACAAACACAAATCATATTTTAGAAAATGAAATGTGTCCTTATACCCACCTCTATACCCATACCTTAAAGCTCTCCTCCACATTTGACTCCCACTCATGTCACATATGGGTTCTTAATCGTGGCTGCATTCCACTACTACGCTCTGCAAACGGAAGCTTTGGCTTGAAGATCGTCTGTGTACGTTGTGTTTTGTTGCAGTCCGTCGAAGCTTCCGTTTTAGATTTGCAGATGATATTTTAGAGCCCTTGGCACGATTGGAAAGGTCGTGTGAAGGGAACAGTCCTTCATGGTACAGGCGTGTCAGTAGCGGTTGGCGGCATTGCAGTCTTTGACTGATCTCAGGGGTGGAGATTGTCGGGTCTTTGCAGCTGAAACTAAACCCTCAAATGTTTCACAGGCAAAGGGTGGTACAGAGACAGTCCACTTTCCCGCCACGTTTGAGGACCTTTGCATAGAGTTGGTAGGATCCAACCAAAAACAGGTATTTCGAGCCTCGACCAAGCAACACTTTCGTATTCCAGCTAACTGCTGATTTGCCAACAACCTCTTGATATAACACCCAATGTACCAGAATAAACACCTCTTTGTATAATTGTTGGTTGCGTTAGGTGTGCCCCAGTTAGTTCTTTAGTACTGCGTAACCGTGCACCAAATTCCAGAAAGGTAATGGCCGGATGCAACGAGCCTCAGACCAAGACGTGATAATTATCCCGATCGGCTACGTTAACTAGCATACTTGGTCTGTTTGATAGACTTGACAGCCAGAAGTACTAGTAAAAAAGATTTAATCTGCGCTATTCTGCAGCACGCTCTTAGTCTTTTATCCACAACACCATCATTACTAAATTCGGACTAAGCATTGAAGGTAGATCATAAGGCCATGGTTTACTCGCCTAAAATAGGATGAATGTGTTACATGTGGAGAGACTCGAGAGGAATGGTGGAGCTGGATGGTCACCTGCCAGACTTCAGAATTGTATGGCCTCTATTGTCACAGGTAACGCAGAAGTACACGGTGTCAACAGCGAGAACAGAACTTGCGTCCATGCAAAGCCTGTGATACGCAAAAGAAGACAAATTCGACAGAACGAAGTCTACGAACTAACGCTTTACAGCAGGAAAGTCGGCATCCTTTAAGGTGATGGCTAATCCGTCTAGTTGCCCTATAGAGAAAAAAAATCGTCTTTATGAAGCAAATACTGTCCAATGAAGCTGAAAGACTATCATTTCCGTGACAGTACCAACCGTAACCGATCATGTAAGTCTGTTTCCAGGAGCACTGTACATCGATTACGTTAACCTGAAACATCACTGAGAGTGATTGGGAAGCAAGAGAGTCAACGTATGAAAAGGCCTAGAATAGTACAAAAGGACAAAAGTAGACTACGACAACATAAGACAATTGTAGAGTGTACTTGAGAGCAGTCACTTTGGTCATTGAGCAGTTGTCACTTTTAAGTTTCGATGTCTACTTTTTGTCAGCAGATAAATGCTTTTGTTTTTCCACATTTATCTGGAGTTACGAATTTACCTTGAATGATGGATCGATGTGTAGTTCAGTGAACAAGCTGAGACATATCTGTGTACACTATCAAGACCACGCTGCTACGGAAATGCAACACAGTACAATTCATCAGAGGTGACGGATTTACAGGAGGTGGGATCCACGGCAATGAGCAGGATACTATTCACAAAGTTGTCAAAACAACTGAGATGGTGAGGACTGAGTTCTTTCGTACGTTCAATAATATGTAAGATTGATGCATCGATGAGGCACTCAATCTGCCATCGTACAATTCCAACGACTCTAGCTCTGCAAAGCGACTCAAATACTCGCAAGATTTCACTGTCACAGTCTGCCGTAAGTGAGGCATAGAAAGTCAGAAATTTATATTTTGGAGGAAAGACGGTCCAAAGAATTCCCCTAAACAGCAAGCTAGAAAATGAGGAATATAACAAGGCTCGGCGCAGAGAACACAACCGAGGGTCCTTGCAATCCAAGGAATGCGACCCAACGACGTTACGAAGCTAGTGACCCTGCTGCATTCAAGCAACAGCTGTTAACTTGCTCTTCTTCGTACCTTCACCTGCTGTTGCCGCGTGACTCCGAAACTGCCGCATCCGCACGGCAGCATACTTGAACCTTCGAGGCAGCCATGCCAAGCAAGTGGGCAACAACTCTGTCAATTAGGGCATAAAATTCAAAAACAATCCTTGTGTTTGTATACTGGTCAGGATCTGCGATTAAGGTCATGGCCGTGAATTATCACACTGGTCCTACAACCATTAAACTAGAGGTGCGTATTCCAAATATCTGCAGTGTGCCAAGTGGCAAAGCCGGAACGGTGAAGTTTTCACCAGGTTGGAACCAAACTGTTCAGTAGATTGTCGAGGTTGAGTGAGTCGGTTACAACTTAGCTAGTACCAGGATCTGCCCTGTGAAATCATAGAGAAAGCAACAAAGACTGAGAGAATAAGAGAGGTTGGTGAAACCCCTCAGAGTGCCGCTTCATTGCCTTCTTCGATATTTTGCAGCATCGCTGTATCGAATAACAGCACGAGAGCAGTAACGGCTGAATCCACGCTTCAGATTTGTCTCAAGTTTCTTAAGAAAACACCCACATTGCCATTCTAGATTGGCAGTGAGTTGTTTCATCCCGACACTAGGAATGACTGCTAGACACTGACACTTGACAGTGGACCGAATGATTCATCATGCTCCATCTCTGGATTGTAAGAATGGCTCCAAATTCAGTGAAATGGGCTATTGAGATGTTGCAATTCATGACAAGGGAATTGTGCAGACATACACACAACTATAATGCTCTGCTCAGACCCAGAAAGTGGGTGCTGCGCATGATTTATAATAAGAATTTATAATAAACATAGTTGAAAAATATAATAATATATCATATCAACATATAAACATATGATACCAAGTTGAAATTAGTAAAGAAAAAACGTTGTAAAAAGAAGGAATCTATAATAGAAGACATAAATTGGATTATCAAATAGACCATTGATTGTTGTTAAATATATAAATTATTATAAATTTAGAAATTTTCTATTTTAAATGTAAATTAAGTTATATATATATATATATATTATCACTCAAAAATATAAATAAAACATAGTCTTATTTAAATCAAAATTAGTCAAAACTCTGATTTTATTTACTTATTTATTTTTAAAATTTGAACTTTTTAATAGATGTGCAATGAGGTTATAACCACAAACAAGAAACTTAATATTCATTGAAAACTATAAAAAAACAACAAAAGTGTAAAATAGAAAAAATCATCAAAAGATTAAAATCTACAAGTAAAAATTTAAAAATATGATAAAAATCAAGGATATTAATAAAAATATCATTTTTACTATGAATTTAACTATTACTCATATTTTGGATTTTTAAATGGTAAAGTTGTTTTCAAATTTACCCTTATGTTTGATGAAAGTGATGATTTGTGCTCTCTTCAGTAAGCTTGTCAATGCTTGAATGTATTGGACTAACTTTTGGTTGCAGATTATGTTCTCAAGTGCCTTGTAATTGAGAATCAGTTTTTATTTGTTTTATTATTTATTTATTTATGTAAGACATGGCATCAACTAAATTGAATATCATAAGGATTGACTTTGTAATAGTCATTGACTCTTCTATTTTTTACATAAGATTGTTGTCTGTATTTAAATCCCTTTAATAGAAGCTTGGGATCAATTTTTTGGAGATAGCTTTGTTTCTACTTCTTTAAATATTAGTTCTAGACCTACTATCAAGATATCTTTAAAAATAAATAAATAAATAATCAATTCCAAAAACAATCCTCAGAACAAGTGGTATTTTCTTTTATTAAAATTCTATTTACATGAGACAAAGACTTCTGAATTCACATATACTTAAATATGTATGATTTCGGTCTTTGAAACGTTGCCTAATGTTCGTAGACAATGTTGTGTTCAAAATGTTAAACATCCCACTGGATTTGTCATTCTAATGAAGCAGAAGTCCTTAAGGACCTATACATGCCATCCCAATTTGAATATCCAAATCTTGCATCCAGATTTCAATTTGCAGCAGAGCAAGGAAACTCAAGAAGGGTGAAGCTGCAACACACTTTGCATCTGCTAAAGACGTGGAAGACAGAAAAAATTCAGTTGAAAATTTTGGATCTACCACTTTGCGGAGAAGGGCAGTTCAGAGTTAATGACTCCCATGAAAAGAATGAGGTGGGTTTCATTTGGGGTCCAGTCTACTGCATGATCAGGTCCAATCTTGTCATCGGCTGTCAATTCGCTCTGCAAAAGCGAGCAGCGTCTTTCCTCTTTCTTTCACAATCTAGCACCTCCAAGTCCGATCCGCTCCGACTGGTCTCTTTTTGCATATGATACAGTCCCTATCTGTGCCAACGCTCTAGGACTCCCTGTTGCATTGCACCCATACCGCAGAGAATTTAGCTTCGTAACGTAACCTATCACTCGTTGAGCTCAGCCTGGACTGATTTCTTCTTACCAGCTTCACCCAAAAAAGCATGGATTGTTTATGAAGAACTGCGTGACATGGGTACCAACAGAAGCCAGCGAGGCGGCGGATCTGTTCGACATGATGATGCCTTGCGAGTGTATTTACTGAGAACATGGAACCAGCGATGAATGATTGTCGAGTGTAGGCCAGGAGGAAGTGTTTTATTTTTTTATTTTTTTATTTTCTTTTTGTCTTGTCTTGATCCCTCCATGTGCAGGTTGTTCTCCAGGCAAGCCTTAATGCCCGGACGCGTACTACGAGTCAGAGGTGCTTTCCTCACCAGCCGCAGCCCCAGCGTGACTCTGTGATTGGCGTGACACTGACTCGGTGCTTCTGCCAGTACCGTCAACGAGTGATCCTTTCCCGATTCTCTCTCAATGTACCCACTAGAATCGAGCAGCCTCAGGTAATATCCATTGCAATGTGTACGGCAGACATCGTCACCACGTCTTGCAGGAATATTTCGAAGTAGTATACAGTTTTCGTGTGCAGCTGCTTGTGTTTTCTAGGTTGCGACTGGTGAATGTAGCTGCTCTCTTCTCTGGTGACCATCTTGAGTAACCTTCAAGCAGAGGACTCCGGACTCTTGACTTTTTTTGAAGTGTTTGCGTTGAAGTCTCTCGTGGAGAAGGTTTGCTTCCTGATGGGGTTTCGGGAAGGATCATTGAAAAGGTGTCAATATTTGTTGCGGAGTAACGGTTCGTGGCTTTAATGATGAATTGATGCTTTCTGAGTGGGTTCTCTAATGCTCTAAATGCTTACCATGGTGCTCTTTAATAGGAATTTTGTTGATGATAAATTTCTGTTGGATTGTATAATCACCCCGCATCCAGGTTGTAGTGAAGCTTGCAAGTGGGTCCAGTCGATCTAAACTTTTGGAAGTTCAAGGGCCGCTGTATGTGTGCAGCACATTGGAAGAATGGCTGGTAGTTTTCTCTTCTGCTGTACTTAACACATTTTTACTTTTTCCATTACTGTCCTTCATGTAAGCTCTTCACCAGCAATTTAATATGGTTTTGGGCACCATCAATTCGCAGATTTTGCGCAACCGGCAAATGCATTGATAACTTGAGAGGGATAAATGCCATAATAACTTCCAAAGTGCAGCACTTCGAACGAGGGCTCACAGCTATAGTCACAACATTCTGCTCTTCACAGATCTGCTAAATATTGTAACACTCAAAGATACGATTTAACGGCATTTTGCATCCGACGCTCACACGGTAACTTCATGGCGTAAAAATTGAGATCGAATCTACTCGAATTTTTTTATGAACTTCTAGACGTTTTCTACAGAGGAGCTGCGCTTTGCATTACAATCGAGAGAGATAGGCTCCAGCACATAATAGACCAACCCCTTTCATTTTATGTTCCCGAATAGCTCGTCCTGCTCTCTAAGTCACACGAACCTTGTGATAGATTTCAAGGTTGTTCGTAAATCTTTGGACTCCACGTGACCTGAAAATTACATGACTCAATTGCCACATATTGTGACAAAGTTTTGAAGATGAGAACCTTCGGCAAAGCTGGCCAGCCTTCCTGGGTGAAGCCACCATGCCTCTGCTCAGTTGCCGTGGTCATGGTGTTCACCATGGGAATGCTCATCGCACCTCTTATGAGACTCTCAAGAAAAGTCATATCTGCCGATGATCCATCAACACAATTGGTTTCATGGGTGGAGTCTTCAAACAACCAAGTAGTGGAAGACCTACCAGTCTCGGGGGAGATTCCTCAAGTCACGGACGAAGTCTTAGCCACAATTTCAGGTTGGTGTCAATCCAATGTTTTCTCTTCATTTTTTGGCACCCTTGGAGAGATGTCTTTCAGTAATCAATTCTTGTCTAATCTTCATTTCAGACCGAAACGATGAACGTCGTTGGGGTGGAAAGAATACCCTGAGTCGTTTTCATTGACTGATTTTCACTTGGGTCGAAGAGCTGAACCAATCTGCTTCATAGAACTCCGCTATCGATTTCGAAGCAGTTTGAACCCTGCTTATCCCATCTGAACGTTTGGCACATCGAAAGAGTTGCACTCCCCTTTCTAACTATGTCATTGAATTGAGATCGACGTGGCATCATTCAAGCTTGCGCTCCATAAATACTACTGAACTTGACCAAAATGATGATCCTATTACGCAAATCAGTAAGCTTTAAAGGCATGAAGAAGGAAGAAAGAATTCGCCAATATGATCGCTACATTCAAGGTTTGCATGGTTTGTAACATGGTTTAAGACGCCCCTTGGTATTACCTCGGCCTTGTGACTTCAATTGGAGCTCATTTTCCAATCCAGAATTTTATCCTCATTGAAGTTTTGTAACCATTTCCTTGATTTCTATCGAACTTTAACCGTCTAAAATATCTGAAATTGATATGGGGTTTGCAGACTCTAAAGATGTGACACCGACAATTGTAGAAGAGGAAAAAGATGGGGAGGTGAAGCACGTTTTGCAGCTGCCTTCGCAGCAAGGAAAGCTAAGCCATGGAATTTAGGCACTTGTTTAAAGAATCCGTCATCAATTCGCGATGCTGATTATTCTGCAATTAGTTCTGATAAAGTTTCGTTGTGTTGCAGAGAAACAATGCAACATATTTGAAGGCAAGTGGATCGAGAACCACTCCGAACCTCTTTACCAAAACGAAACCTGTCCGTTTTTGTCGCAAGGACAAAACTGTCCTGGCAATGGAAGGTCCGACTCTGGCTACCTTAACTGGAAATGGAAGCCCACTGAGTGTGAGCTTACAAGGTTCGATGGGCTCGCGTTCCTGGAGCTCATGCGGGGGAAGACGTTGGCCTTTATCGGAGACTCTGTGACGCGAAATCAGTATGAAGCCTTAATGTGCATGTTGTTGCAGGTAATACTCTCTACACTAACCTGCTTGACGTGTCACATTCGCATTCAAATTCCTTTCAAATTCTGCAAAAATTCTCCCGTCATCTTCATCTCTCCATTCCTTTCTTTCTGCCTCTCTCTCTCGCGTTAGTCAGTAACGATTTTTGCAGGTCGCTTCCGCAAAACCTACTGGCAACAGAAAGTTCCAAAGATGGGTTTTCCGAGGCTACGACTTTAAGGTGATTCGGATCTGGTCTTCCTGGCTTGTGCACGTCTCCACGGACTCCATAGACTTCGCTCCTGCAAATATGACCAAATTGCACCTGGACATCCTCGACGAGAAAATTTCAGAGTTTCTACCGATGTTCGACGTCCTGGTGTTGGCGTCGGGCCATTGGTGGCCGAAAACGGCAGCATACATCATAGACGGTAAAGTAGTCGGTGGCCAAACCTGGTGGAATGGAACATACGAAAAGAAGTATGATGTTTTGGCGGGGTATGGCGTTGCGATGAAGACAGCTTTAAAAGCCATTATCGCTTACCCTGATTACAAGTGAGTCCTCACATCTCGAATCTAACAACACATCTGACCACACGAAAAACAAGAATTTACCGGACCATGATCAACATTCCGCCACTCATTTTAGTTTACTCCAATTTTGGGTTCCTCGCAGAGGTTTAACGATTCTGCGAACCTACTCTCCGGAGCACTACGAAGGAGGGGAATGGAACACGGGAGGCTCGTGCACAGGCAAGACGAAACCACTGGAGGAATCAGAGCTCGCGCGAAATTCCTACGCAGACACGCTCTACGCCCACCAAATCGAAGCCGTAAAAGAGGCAAGGCGCATCGGCGAGAACGCGACGCGCATACGAGTAATGGACATCACAAGGGCCTTCTCCTACCGAGCAGACGGGCATCCAGGGCCATACCGCAACAGGAATCCTAACAAGGTGGTGGAGCGTGGACGCAACGGGAAGCCGCCCCCACAGGATTGCCTGCACTGGTGCATGCCCGGCCCCATCGATACCTGGAACGAGTACCTCTTCGCAATGCTGCAGCGCGAGTTTATTCCTTAGAACTCTCCGCAGTTGCGACGATCGAGTGTCTCGATTTGCCAGAGGCTGCCATGCGAATCAGATTTGCTTGCGCATTCTGCAAACATTTATAACCTCGTCATCGACTTCCATCCTCTCGTGCCCCAGCAGGCGTCGACTGGGATAATCTCCACACCACGGATCAGATCGCGCTCTGTTGCGATCGTCGCGGCGTCGAATCTGCGGCCAGTTCTAGAAGCGGAACCGACGCAAATCGTCGATTCAAATGACCGTTGTTGCATTCGATAACACGAGATTGGTAAAATTTTACATTCCAATTCGCAACTGTTGCGGCCCCATCTACCGACACCGAGCGTATGTCTAGGGTGGGCGATGTGGGTTCAGTCTCCACATCACTCTGTTGATAAAAATAAGATCTGATGACATGAAACTTGATGGCAACAATACTTTTGATGCATTTAGTGATGAGCAGAGATTATTCTGGATAGGATTTTATTCTGTACTTGATATTGTGATGCTTTTGGATGTATTATTGTGGTAATGATAGCCCACAAATTTCAATGAAATTTAATGTTACTTTGTAACAAGATTTGAAGTACTTGCTATGTGCAATTTTGTTGTCATACTATTATGTTATATAAACTTTTGATGGAATGGATCTTATGTGAAAAATTCTTACTATATTAGAACAATTTGTATTAAGACAATAAAACAATATGATAAAATATATTAAAATAATAAAAAAAAATTAAAAAGATAATAAATTGGAATAAAATTTTATATAATTAAAATAAGATTTATTATTATAAATGAGTTCAAAATACTATAATATAAAATACTTTAATACTAAAATAAAAGAATTTTGAAGAATAACAATAACCAATAAAGAAGATTAAAATTGGTGACAATTTAATGTCTATCTATGCAAGTTGTTATTAAAGATCAATAAAGAATATTAAAGAATAAAATAAAAATTACAATATCATTTGTAAAATTATAGGATTCATATTAAACATAACTTTATATATATATATATATATATATATATATATACACATACATATAATATTTAGGAACATAGTAGCAACATATTATTCTTATGTCAATAAAATATTACCTCCTAATATTAATTTTTTTAAAATATAAAAGCATAAAATAAGTTTTTTTCTTATCAAATATATCTATATATATATATTAAATATGTCACTTCTATCTATATTGATCTCATTTTTTTATTTTTTTATTTTTTTATGATTGTCATTATCATCCAATAGTGCTAGATTTTGCACACCAATATCATCCATTAGTTACAACTTCTATAATTTATGCACTTTAAATTATTGTCTTCGTCTATCAATTTGAATCAACAAGGATCTCAACTTCTAAAACATTATTTATAACTATGGATTTGTGCCAAATCAAAGATTTTGCACATGCTTCAAATTAACTTGTTGGTATAAGATCAATTTTTTCTATCTTTTCTCAATTAAAATAAAAAAAACTCTTATTAGTTTGTATATATTGTTTATTGTTGTCTTTGTTTTATAGAATTGAAGATAGCAAGAATAGGATTTTATTTTTCATTATTAATTTACTCAAAAGATGTTAGATGAAGATCCTAAATTCTTACAACATGATGCAATTAAAAGCTCTATGTCTTGTCTTTTTTAAAAGCTTTTAAGAAGCTCTAAAGGAAGTAGAAAACTTTACAAAATCAAAAAAATACATAGTTTGGAAGGAAGGATTCATGAAAAAATTCAATTATTTAGATGGAGAACTAAAAAGGATTGACTTTTTTTGTGTGTATATATATAAAAAAAAAACCTCTAATAAGAGAGCAATATTTGATGAGTAAAATAAGCATAAGAGTAGATTATCTTTTTAAAGTAATTCTCTAGATAATTTAGAAACAATCATGATTAAAATATTGACATTATAAATACTTACTATTCTTTTAATTTAATTGAAAACATATCAAGGACATGAATCTCAAAACAAAGAAATCCTTAATATACTCTTAAGTCACTCAAAAGAACTAAAAATTCACTCAAATATGATATGATATTAAACTAGAATGGTAATTGCTAAAGACAAGAAAACTAGAAAGTCTTGAAATAAGGCTAAAGACTAGAAAGGCATTGACAAGAATGAAGATGGCTTCATTCTTGCCTCCGTATATACTCTAATTAAGAGCTATGTAGCAATGTTCTATACAACCTCCAAAATGTGTTGATTTTAGAAGAGACATATTTTAACTTGCAAGGTAAGTTTTCCATATGTATGCCACATAGTTAATTTATTCCATAAGCTATTGATACATAGTTAATTTGTTGACTAAGTTTTTAACCTATCAATCAACTACAAATACATGTAAAATCAAAAGAACATCTATAAAGCTTTTAGGAATTTTTTCTAAAAAATATTATGAAATAAATTTATTTTTATTTACTTCTATTTAATCATATAGGTAAATATTAGAATAAATTTATATGTTCATGACATTATCTCCCTTTTTAGGAACAAGTTCTATAAGGGATGGACTTCATATGTCAAGAAAATCCAAGATGCGGCAAATTATATTTGCTACATATTTTGATCTTTATTCTCTTCAAAGATGGTTGATAGGTCCTCTCAGCCATTGATAATGTCTCACACCAAGGCAAGAAGATTGCCCTATTATTTGATTGTTGTTGAGGGCTTCATAACTTCCTTCAAATAAAATATTTGAATCATTATCAGAAACTGTTTCTATTTCTAATAAAATCACCAAATATTGAGAGTCTCTTCAAGGTTGTGATACCAAATATGTTGTATTTTTTCATCTATTTGAGGATGGATATGTCATTCTTGAGAATCTTCATCTCGATTACGTCATCTTGAAAGTTGTCACAATCACAATGTCTCATTTGATAAGTTAGCAAATAAAAGCTCTTGAGTCGACTCTACTAGTTGTTAGTTCTTCATCTTCTTAACACCACAAATATATAGAAGCTACAAATAAGGATAGAAGATAGAATTTTATCTTCCTCAAATCTTATTTCTTTTATACTAAAGATTTTCTATTCTTTATCTTAGTTTTAATGGATGTTATCAATAAAAACTCTCTTTGTTGTATTTGCAAGTTTCTTTGCTAGCTTCTATGTGTATTCACTAATATCATATTCACTCCAATGAATAAGATATTCCAACCTATTTCAACACTACCTTGAATTTAAGACTTCTTCTACTTCAAACTGTTGATTATTATCTACTTCTATAAAAAAAACATGACATTTGTCTTCTTTTTGAGATATTTATTGTCTTATATGGCTCAAAAAGTGACACGTGAAATATGGGATGGATCTTCATAGACCCCAATAGATCTAATTGATGAGCAATAGGATTAACTTATCTATAAAAATGAAAGGGCGTAAACTTACAATAGTCCAACTTATTATAATAACAAATAGTCTTGATATTACAATAAAATAACTATACATTATCACCCATATTGAATTGTAATTGTTCTTTGCAATAGGCATCTGCATTGATCTATTATCATTCCTGAGCTCCCTTTAATTATACCCTCATTATTACATGTAACTCTAGTAAATGATTTGTCAAATCTTTTGCCACAAGATTATCAACTTTTGAAAAGTCAAAAGTATCAAATCATAAATGATAATTATAATTAGCAAAAAAATGTGTTTATTGAGTAGAAGAATATTTTGAATTATTATATGCAAACTCTACCAATAGCAAAAGAGTTGTTCAATCATCTTAATGATAATTGATGGTACATTTAAAATATTGCTCCAAAACTTGATTCATCTATTCCGTTTGCTCATCAATTTGAAGATGAAAAGCTAAAGAAAACTTTATATCTACCTTTAGAATCTTAAAAAAAATTCTTTAAAATCTTAATATAAATTGAGTCCCTCTATTTCATACAATATCCTTGAGCAATCTAGAATAGCGATAAATATTGTCAAGATTAAAATTAGCTATTTCTTCACCTATGATAGATTTTTTACATGGTACAAAATATGCCATCTTAGTAAAACAATCTACTATTATAAATATAGAATCACACAAACTTGAGATTGGAAGATCCATGATAATATCCATAAAAATAGAAGTCTATGGTTGTTTTGGAATAAGTAATGGTTGAAGAAGTCCACAAGATTGATAGTGAAGAATTTTGGATCTTGAAAAAATATCACATGATTGTATAAAGTCTTTGATTGCCTTCCATATTTGAAGCTACCAAAAATCTTATAATATTAATTCCAAAGTCTTATTGTATCTAAAATATCCAACTTTTGTAAAGTCATGATGAGCTTAAAGAACACATAATCATACCTTGCCTTCTTGAATGTATAATCGCCCTTTAAAATAGAGTAGGTTGTTTTTAAATTCAAACTTGGAAGTATCATGAGATTTAGAAGAATTATTCTTGATATTATAGATAAAAAAATCAAAAGATATATTTGATTGAATTTTCTTGACAAAAATTGAATCAACAATCAATGTTGATTTTATTTTTCAAAAGTGAAAATGCTCCAATTTTAAGAGAATTATTCTTTGTTGATGAAAAGATACATTTCATTCTTTTGATACAAGATAAGAATGTTTAGAAAGGATGTCCAACAAACCTTGTTATTTTTTTGGTGGATAAGTGATCTTAAAATCAAATCTTGATAAAACACATGCTCTAACAAGCTTGACAACAATTCAAAACATGTAACAACATAAAGTACTCAAGTTTCTTATGATTTTTATATATGGTGACTAGATTTGAGGCATCTTTTAGATAATGATGCCATTTTTGAAATGAATCTACAATTGCAAGGAGCTCTTTGTCATGGATCTCATAATTAATCTTGGTTGTTGAAAAGTTTTTAGAATGAAAAGCTATTAAATGGAATTTATCATCTATTCTCATTTCTAACAATATTGCACACAAAGCAAAGTCTGATGCATTTGTTTCTATGAAAAATACCTTGAAAAAGTCAATACAATATATAATTGATGCAAAAATAAACTCTTTTTTCAAAACATCAAATGATACTTCGACTTCTTTATTCCACTCAAATTTATCTTTATAAGTGAAATGTGTAAGTGAAGGTGCAACTTGAAAAAAATTCTTAATGAAGATTCAATAATAATTGGCAAAGCTTAAAAAACATTGCATATTTCTTATTGTTGTTAGAATCTTCTAATCCATGATAATCTAGATCTTCGTTGGATCCATTATTAGCCCTTCATTGGAAATAATGTATTCTAAGAAACCAACTTGAATAGTATAGAATACATACTTTTCTAACTTGGTATATAATCTTACATTTATAAGTTTTTATAATACACAACAAATATAAACTTCATGTTTTTTTGTATTCTTAGGGTAGATTAAGATGTTGTCCAAATAATAGATGAAAAAATTATCAAGAAATTCACAAAAGACACCATTGATTAGATGTTGAAAAATAGCTAGTGCATTTGTGAGTCCAAAAAGCATGACATTTTATTCAAAATGCCTATAAATGGTTCAAAATATATATATTTTTTATTTATTTCTTTATTTAATGCATATTAGATTATATGCTTCTCATAGATCTA